AGGGAAGAAATGTCTTTCTGTTCTAGAGCATCCATTTGAGAATTTAGTACTAGACACAAATCCCAGGCCAAAATTGCTTAGTCGACTCCTCATCCCACCCCACCTAACCATGATGGTAGTGTTCAATTGCTATATTCAGTCTTTCCATTCATGTGTAAAGGTAGAGAAATATGTCCTGTTTAGGGACAGCAATTGCAAGTGCCCAGGTGAATGCCCCTAGTTCAAGAAAACATCATAGAAAAACTAGGTTAGTCAAGGGCCATGTACAGAGTGTAAAAGCAGTTTGAGAAAAGCAATCTGGGGTCTAGGCAGGAAAGGCTGTTTCCAGTGCAGCGTCTGAACAGAGTAAAATGCCAATCCAGGAATTATTTAAGTGTCCAAGGAGCAAACCAAGGGAACAGGGAACATCACATGTGTCAAATGGAGAAGCGACTGAGGCTGTCGTTTTGCAGCACAGAAACAGTCTTGGCTGTGCTAATTTATATCCATAGGAGTAACTGGAGACAGATCTCAAGCAACAACGTATGACATTTTTCAGCCTGTATATATTCCTCGAGCCTTGTTCATGGCATACTTCGAATCCAAATTCAGATTATCATCTAATCCAATCCGATTTAATTTGATCTGATCTTATTTAGAATCAAAGTTCAGGTTTTTATTCGTCCAGTAAATGAGTTGAGAATCTAGAAATTTCAGAGCTTTGATAATAAATAGCCTCTGCAGAAGGCATTAGGGTATGAAGTTGTTGTTGTGTGTCTTCAAAGCACTTCTGATTTATGGGGACCCTAAAGTGAACCTATCATGGGGCTTTCTTGGCAAGATTTGCTCAGATGAGGTTTGCCGTTGCCATTACCACCTGGTGGGTTTCATGGCCAAGCGGAGAATTGAACCCTCGTCTCCAGACTCATACACAGGTGGAAACATGTCCAGTTTTTTAAAAAATACTTATAGAACACTATCTTTCAAGCATCTTGAGATATGTCTCCAGTGGATTTCTGTGTCCTCTGCAGATTTCATTGGATGTTCCACAGTTCCTGCTTCTTGTGCCAGTTTATAGCTAACTGTAACTCAGCACAGCTGGCTTATTTATCCCAGCATTTTTCTTTTAAGGCAAGGCACTTCCTTGCCTGTTCTTTGGCTATTCCCTGCCTCTGACTGGAACCTGTTATCTGTTATCACTTCTTCTTCTTCTCCTTCTTCCCCTTCTCCTTCTTCTTCTTCTTCTTCCTCATCTGAGGAGGTCTCCTCTATGTAGGACATACCACAATGATGCCAAGTCTTCCGATCTCACCTCTCATGACTGATGATCTTAGTTACTTTCTGGGTTAATCTAGGGCATCCTTGAGAGAGTCCATCTCTTTACCCTGTGCATTTGTTCATTGTCGGAATACACACTACAGAGTCACACTGTAAAATATCTTCAAAGCATTGCCCCATATGGCAAGTATCATACGAAGAGGTAGGGTGGCCCACTGTGCAGCAAAAATTAAGGACCCTTGGTCAATCCGGTAGGTTTATTGACCCATAGGAGCAAGCTGTCCCTTCCTGGGCTGCTGGAAGGGAAGCGTTGTTCTTTATTCTGCAGAAAGCCCAGATGTGTCACAGATGCATCTGCTAAATTTGGTTGCATAACCACATTAAAAAAACATCAAATATGCAGCAGTATTTTTAGCTCTCTTATCCAGCAAGCACATACAGGAAGCATATGGTTCCTTCCCTAAGCAAACTGCCTTTGGCAATATTTTGGAACTCCAAACCTTTTGTTTTTAAAGGGTGTGTGTGTGGATAGCTAGAATGAGATGGCACTGCAATTTTGCAGTGTCCACATGTTGGCTTCAAGCAAGGGAGAGAGGAATTTGGCGGCATCCACACTGCAGAAATAATCCAGTTTGACACCGCTTTAACTTCCATGGCTCAGTGCTATGGAATTCGGGGAACTGTAGTTCTGTGAGACATTTAGCCTTTTCTATCAGAGAGCTTGGGTTTCACAATGAACTACAAATCCCAGACTTGCATAGCATCGAGCCAAGGCAGCTAAAGGAGTGTCAAATTGGATTATTTCTGCAGTGCAGATGTAGCCCTAATCTCCATATAGCTTTTATAAAGTGGGTCCTATACCAGGAGAAGGGCAAGATAATCAATTAGTCCAGCCATGTATCCATCCATCTGCCCATCCACAACATGGGAAGGGTCTACA